TCTGGAAGATTTTCAACCAACACAACATATACACACACTTTAAGCCCCAAAATACACTAAGGCAGAAGCTTGTCCAACCCAAGGATAAACACCCAAACACAAATTGAGCAATGTGATATATGCAATACAACAAAGTGAGATATGTGCAGATCTGCATATTGGAGAAACAAAACAACCACTTCACAAATGCATGCACAGCATAGGAGAACAAACCCATCAGGATAAGAGACAGCAGTCCATCAGCATTTGAAAGACAAGGATAACTCTTTTGAACATAGCAAAGTACACATTCTGGACAGAGAAGACCTCTGGTTTGAAAGAGGGGTCAAAGAGGTAATCTACATTAAAATTGAACAACCTCCTCAACCGAGAGGGAGGGATACAATGCCACTTACCTCCTGTTTACAACACAGTCCTTTCAACAGTTCCAAGAAGGTTCCACATGCATTTGCACTGTTCAGGTGACCCTGAGGGTACAAATAAGCCTCCAAGTGGCCTCAATGCCTCCCAGAGAGAGTGCTAATGTCCAGGTGACTGCAAGGAATATAAATCCTTCAATTTTCCTCCATTCAATCAGAACTGAAGAAGCTTCTTGGATGAGAAGTGAAATGTCTTCAAGAAAAACCAAGGAAAGTCCAGTTCAGATGTGGGTTTCAGAGGTGGATTGGGGAGAGAATGGAGATTTTATAGTATCCTTCCCCTGGAGTTGGGTGGGACTGGAGATTTTGCAGTATCCTTCTCCTGCCACACCCACCATGCCATGCCCACCAAGCCATGCCATACCCACAGAACCGGTAATAAAAAAATTTGAAACCTACCACTGATCCAGTTGTCTTTTGAAAAAGTACTTTTGGGATGACCTCCAGGGTGGTATGGTGAATGGAATATGGCTCTGTGAAAACAGAGCCAACTACTACAGGAAAGACCAAGGAACTGGTGAGTAGACTGGTTACTTGGAATCTCTCTGGATAAGGTGAGAATGGAAGATCACCATAGTCACCATGTGCTCTTGATGACTGCTCCTTATCAGTCAATTGATAAAATCTTCCTTCTGTATTGTGGCATTATCATTATCGCTTGTCACATGACCAGCCAGATATTTAGACTGGATTTGCCATTTTTATCCATGTATCGATTACTTCCCAAGGACCTGAGATAGGCACATGTTGATTTCTATGAGTGAGTGCTGGGAATCAACAGGATCAGTTATCTTGCCCATATAACTGTGGTGGACCCTTTTAAAGCACAATAAATTTGCAAACCTCACTTTCTAATCCCCTTTGTTGGTTGACTAGTAAAATGTTTTCAAAGAAAAACAAGGAAGTCCAGTTGTCTTTTGAAAAAGTACCTTTGGGACAACCATGACCTGGATGACTGAGCATCTCCATAGAAATTCCCCTGGAAGTCCTGATTTTGAAGAGAAGTTTGCATAACTGCCATACATTCATTCATTCATTCATTCATTCATTCATTCATTCATTTATTTATTTATTTATTTATTTATTTATTAGTTTGATTTATATGCCGCCGTTCTCCGGAGACTCAGGGTGGCTTACAATGCTTTTAAGCAATAGCCTTCATACTTTTGTATATACCTGCTTAGTAGGGCTTTTAGCCCCCCCTAAGCGATGTTCTATTTTATACAAAATCAGCTTATTGCCCCCACAAACCGGGTCCTCATTTTACCTACCTTGGAAGGATGGAAGGCTGAGTCAACCTTGAGCCTGGTGAGAATTGAACTCGCAGTAATTGCAGGCAGCTGGCAGCTAAATACTATTTTAACAGTAGTTTAGTCCATTGCACCACCAGGCTCCTCATGATAAATCTTCCTTCTTTATTGTGGCATTATCATTATGGTTTGTCACATAACCCCCCCAGATGTTTAGACTGGATTTGGAATTTCTGTCCATGTGTCAAGTACTTGCTAAGGACCTGGGATAGGCAGATGTTATTCTTTAATAATATTTAAGGTATCATTGTAGGATGTAAGCTATTCCAAGTAAAGCTGTCTTTTGCAATTGACTGAGATTTTGTCAGTACTGACGGTATTCAACTGGTACTCCAGAAGTTTTGAGATTGCACCTACCGTATGCATCTTAGCAGTACTGGTACTATCTTTGCTTTCTTTGCCACAGTTCTACTTTTATTTGTAGGTCTTTGAATTTGTATTTATTTTCTTTGCTCCTTTCTCTTTTGTTGTGCTGTTCCTCTATCCAGACTTTGTTGTCTTTCTTATCAACAATGGTTAAATCTGGGGTGCTATGTGGCAGGTTCTTGTCTGTTTGAATTCTAAAGTCCCAGAGCACTTTAATTTCTTTGTATTCTACTACTTTGTCTATTTTGTGGTCCCATTAGTTCTTAGTTACTGGCAAATAGTATTTCTTGCAGATCTTCCAGCACCATTTTTGCTATTTTATCATGCTGTTATTTGTAGTCAACAACAAGATCTGTGTGATATTCTTGCAACAGTTAATTAGATGATCCACTGTTTCTTTAGTTTCCTTGCAGAGGGAGTATTTACTATCTGTTGCTGTCTTTTTAATTCTGGCTTTGTCTGCTATTGTTCTTAAGGCTTGATTTGTACAGCCCTCTGTCTCTTTCTTAAATATTCCTGCTCTTAGCCATTGTCAGGTCTTGATATTATCTGCTTTACCTGTTTTTTTTAAATGTACTGGCCATGTAATACCTTATCTTCCCATCCCATGGCACTTTTCCGTTCTTCATTTGATTTTTCTTGTAAACCATACTGGTATTCAGTAAGCCTTCCTAGTATACCAGCTTCAGTGCATCTCCATATATTCTTCCAAAGCCCATTTTTCTTCTCCAATCATCTAATATATTTGCAACATTCCACACTACTTATTTTCCTTGGAAAGTACAGTCTGTCAACATTGCTGCATTGTTATTATTTACTGAATTATTGTTATATATTTTTTCTATCTTTTTAATATCCATTTGGTTCACTCAAGATGGTGAATATGCCTAATACTCCTGCCTCCTATTTTCACTACAACAATAACTCTATGAAGCAGGGAGAGCTGGAAGAGAGTACTTGGCCCAAATCCTCAGCCAGTTTTCAGGCTTTAAGAAGGTTCACCAGCTCTTGGTTTCTAGGCCAGCACCTAGAATGCCCAACATTTATTTTGATGTAATTTGCCCATCTTATAACTCCGTGATGGCGCAGAGTGCCCAAGGTGGCACGCAAAGCCATGTCACCCAGCATGCACAGCCTTGCCTGTTTGACTTCTGGGTTTCTGGTGCACATGCGCACGTGATGATCATCTGTCCTTTGCGCGCGGGGCAGTGCTGAAAACCAGCCTGCACGTGCGCACCGGCCAGCTGATTGTTGGGCACGCATGCGTGCTAGAACCCGGAAGTTCAGCTTTTTCAAACCATTTCCCCGATGAGCATGCGCACAGCATTTCTGCACAACCTTTTCGGCACTCGGTGCTGAAAAGGTTCACCATCACTGTTATAACTCATTGACAGAATTATTTATTATCTATAATAAAATGTATACCAATTTTCCTTTTGTGATTATAGCTTGAAGTGAACATTTCCAATGTTTAATATCAAATATTAAAAAGCAATATTGAAATATAGGTAATGCTCAACAAACAAACATAATGGAGCCTGCACATTACAGTTGTATATCGTGACTGTTGTAAAACAGGTCACTCATGTGACTGACAGGATTTTGCAACTTTTTTGCAGTGGTTGTAACTGCATATGGGTTTGTTAAGGAAACACAGCAATTGTAAGTGTGAAGCCTTTGTTTGCTTTGTGCGACATTTTACCGAAAATTGAAAGTGCTGCTTTTTGGCAAAACTCATAAAATAATCACATGAATTTAGGATGCCACAATGAGACATAAATGCAACTGTGTTGCCATGAGCCTGAAGTGCAGTCACATGATGGTGGGGGGGGGGGCAACAATAAGAATTTATAATCTGGGTCATGTCACCTTTTTCAGCTAAGTCATAACTTTGAACAATCGCTAGGTGACTGATTGTAAGTCAAGGACTACCTGTAATGGTTAATAGAAAGAAATGTTTTTATTTATGTTCTATTTTTCATTCTGCCTTTTGTATCTTTCTCACTTTTTTGCACTCTTAAGTTTACTCAATAAAGATAATGGTAATATATATTACTTTGCCTGACATATACATGCTTCCAGAGCAGACTTTTTTGTATGCATTTTTCCAGTGCAGCTATCAGATGCTAGGATATTTTTTGAAGTAAATATTTATTCGTGATATGATTGTCTCTCTGGTAAGAGATTATATCATTTTCATTGTTTAGAAGTAGAGGCAGAATAGTGTGATATCCCATGCTAACAATATCTCTGTCCAGATTTCCAAATGATTTCTCCCAAGGATTTTAGATATTGTAGATATTGAATTGCATGGAGGCAAGTACCCCAAATACTATGGACAAGGAGTAGAAGAAAAATCTCAATTTCATTTCTGAAAATTCCTTTCATAAATGACTAAAATAATTGTAACACTCTTGAGAAACATACAGAGTGATATTATCACTGTTACGATTACTTACTGAGAATATCAGGAAAATATCAGGCTTGCATTCACCAGCCATTCTTTTGGGGAGGTTATCCAGCAGGATATCTTCAGACTATATAAATGTAAAAAGATACCCATAATAATCCAACAAATCATCCTTGTTGCATACAGCCAAGAATATCCTAATGAATACATCCACATCTGAGAAGATAGAAGCATCTTTATTTGTAAAACATAAAATAAATCAGTCACAGTAGATTCCTGAGTTGGAATACATCATTTTATTAATAGAATTAAGTTGGGAAACTTGAAGAAACTAGAAAGATGTATTTGCAAATAATTTGTTTTGAGCTTCAAATCTATGAATACATGCGGTCAGAACCAGGGCTTTGTTATCCACTGTCCTGAATTGAAAACGATACTGTCTATTTTCACAAGGATTTTTTCAATGTTTTTGTAAACTAAGTATTTTTTTTCAAGGTTATGGGAAACTGGTCCAACTCAGGTAAATATGGTCATTATAAATCTATATATATAAAAGTGAAAACTACTCATGCATTAATCACGAAATCTCCAGAACCGTAAAGCCTACAAACTTGAAATTTGCCACATATGTTCCTCTTGGCTTCTAGGTGCTCACTAAAAAAGGGTTTTTCAAAATGACCATCAGAGCATTAGTATTTCCTATATTATTATAACACGCTCTGATGCTAATTATTTAGATGTTCTACTCCCCCTCCCAACGTGAAAATAACGGGGGAGAATGGGATAGCATAGGACAGGCTTCTGTGGGGCAAGCCTCATGGAGAGAAGGAGCTAGAAAGCCTGAGGGAGAGAAGGGGATAGGATAGGAGACGTTTCTGTGGGGAGAGAAGGGGAGAGGCTTCTATGGACAAGCCTGAGGGAGAAAAAGGGGTAGAAGAGGATCTATAGGGCCAAGCCTGAGGGAGAGAAGGGGAGAGGAGAGGATCTATGGGGCCAGCCTAAGGGAGAGAAGGGGGTAGGATAAGAGAGGCTTCTGTGGAGCCAGCCTGAGGGAGAAGATAGGAGAGGCTTCTGAGGGGCAAGCCTGAGGGAGAGAAGGGGAGTCTTCTGTGGGGCTGACCTGAGGGAGAGAAGGGGAGAGGAGAGGCCGATCATAACTACTCATTAATTTTCAAACTGTCGATTTATCAAGCCCGATCACATAGTTTTGTAGCGGAGCACAGGTATTCAGCTAGTTAGTCAATAAATGTAAAGAGAATATTAACCATTCTCTGTTTCTGGACAATATTAGCACGTGTTTTAGCAAAAGCCATTACTTCCTTATTAATTCTCATCCCCTATCATCATTTATAGTCTCAGACTACATGCATATATCTGATAAATCTTTTACTAAAGTAAAAGACTTCTCCCATTCCAGTTTAAGGCCCTGTATAAATTATTTAAATGTGTGGTTGATAGTGTTAAGGTTGTGTAATCCTTGATGCTTTCTGAGCTTGGTTGTTTTCTTGAGACATTTTATTGCCTGGCTAGGTAACATCATCAGTGGTAGAAGGGTGTGAGATTTATTCTCTGTTTATATACTATGGTTTGCCTGTCAGTATTGGTGGGAGTGGTCTTGGTGGTTCCTTGTTTAGGCTGTTGTTTACTATTTGGTTGTTTGACTGAGTTGATAGTTCCTTGGTTGGGATATTGTTTTCTTCTTGATTATAGGTCTAGTATTAATCTTGATATTAATCTTTGTTTATCTGGGTGCTAATTGTTAGTGGTGAGGTGTTCGTGTTGTGAAATCCATGAAATCATGAACACCAGTATATAAGCAGAGCAATCCCATTTCCTTTCTCATTAACTCTGTTTGGGAAAATTAATCTATTTTCTAATAATAAAACTCTTTCAACTTGTTAACTAAACAAATACAATTACTTGTTTTAATAATTAAATAACATTTATAGAAATTTTAAAAAGCATTCATAAAAACAAAAAGCCTTCTTCTGTAATACTAATCTTTATTTTTGTCAGATTATAAAGGTATGGTCATTTGATCCAGAAAACGCAGACATGGAAGAAAAGCTAAACACTGCCAGTTCACCACCAATAGTAGGTATTTTATTTTGTTCCAAAAGAGTGTCCTTATAATTTACATGGTGTACATATAATGCTATTACATTTTCAGAAGCAAAGTGAAATTGATTCTTTTATATGTTTCATTAATCTGGCACTATCTGACAGTTAGACACATTTGAAAAAATCTTGTTTCGCTGCACAAGAATATTTTCAAGGAATGGCAGCTGAAGAGAAAACAGATAGCTTCAATCCCATTGAATGGTAATTCAACTGATTTTTTGAAAAATGTGTTCTGATTCAGATTTTATAAATTTAATGGCTGCATATGGGAGATTGTGGATCAAAAGAGAGAAACAACAACAAAGGGAGAATTCAAGTAGAAGAGAAGAGAAAAAGATAAGAGACGTTTTCAATGAAAGAGGGTTTTGTTGATGTATTCTTGTTTTTTCCATCATAGCACCAAGGTGTGTCAGGGTGGCAATTAATCCCATTCCGCTTCGGGTAATTGCACCTTGATTAGAAATGGGACCGTGGCTTTTCCTTGGAATATACTTTTTTTAAAAAAATAAAACCTGAGATACATTCTAATAAAACACATTTTATTATAAAGAAAGTAAAAACAGAATTACTAGGTAATGATTACATCTTGGCAGCGTTCCTGCCGTACCTCTTGGCAGGCGAACAAAAAAAGGTAGAAGAAAGTGAAAGAATGTGGACATGCGCAGTGGCTTCAGTGATAAGAGTCAGACAGTCTACTGTAAGTCTCAGAATGGGAGCCCAGCTGACAAAATACAAAAACGCAGTGACAATCCCCTTCTTTTGTCAGTTGAGCGGACATTAGGTATATCATCAATTAAGGCACATCTTCTTACGCAGATACTCCTGTTGAACTGCTGGAAGTGGTTTGTTGAGCATATCAGCAATTTGATCATGTGTAGATACATACTGCAATTAACAAAACCTTGTTTCACTAATTGTTTTATGTTTTGATAACGGATGTCAATGTGTCTGGACCTAGAACCTGTGAAATGTGATTCAGAAATATAAACCACCGATTTATTGTCTTCCATCACGGTGATCGGTCTGATCGGACGTGTCCAGATATCTGTGACCAAAGCATCAAACCATGTTAGAGAATTACATGCATCTGAAACACAAGCATATTCAGCTTCGGTAGATGAACAAGAAATAAGATTCTGTTTACGCACTTTCCAATAAACAGGACATCCATTTAAGAACATCATATAACCTGAAGTACTTTTACGTGATTTCTTATCACTCGCCCAATCAGAATCTGCATAACAACATAATTCTGCATAATCAGTATGTGTTGGTTCTAACAATAACTTCATATATGTTTAGTGTGTTTTAGGTATTTCAATAATTTCTTAGCACATGTCCAATGAAACTGTTTTGCCTTACCTACGTGTCAAGATAAGAGATTAACATTAAATGCAATGTCGGGTCTGGTCCAACTACTAATGTACAACAGTGATCCAATAACTGAATGATAAAGTGTTTGATCCTCGAACTCAGGACTTGATTCATGTGTCAAGTTGTGAAAATCTGTTTGCATGGGTGTTGTGCTCCATCTAAAAGGACACCAGCACCACCTGGGGGTGCTGAAGATTGGGCCTGTGGAGACACTTGTGGCATTGCGATCTGAATATCTGAGTGGATTAGGGACATGTTTGATAAAGTCCGATGCAATACTTGAAATTGGTCTTGCAAACTGCGATGCATTTCAGCTTTCTCTAGTAAATTACTTTTGCCAGCAGATGGTGCTGCAACTTTAGTTTCGGGCAGCTCAGATAATTTTTCCGCCTTCGTGGCATGGTGTGTAATTTGATCAGAGAGAACGTCATGTGACAATTGTGACGTGTATACAGCTCTCTGTTCTGATTGGCCTGACACAAGACCCTCTTGGGGGTGTGGCTTTGGCTGCGAAGAAGAAGCCAAGATGGCATTTTCAGGAATTTTAAAAACACGAGACTCTCTCTTATCTTGCTCGAGCATAGATAAAGCTATTTTTGTCTGGGATAGCTCATGTTCAAAAAAATTTATATGGTCATGATAGTTTTTTTATAGCTTGTTGATCCAGGGTGAGCTTGGAGCTTCGAGGAGAACAATAAATTATTTCTCTCTCTGTGTGGGAAGAAAAATGCTCATCGGTTTGTGAAAACTTTGGCCTTGCACCAAGCGTTTCAAATTCAAAAGGTTCTGGGAGGACTGTTTGAGAGCATGCATATTCAGAAGGAGACATCACTGACCTCAATTGCAACACGTTGCCTTCAAAAGCAGCTTTTCTGTCATCTTCTTCCTGAAGCCTCTGTAAGAGCATTTCATCCATTTCTTCTACTCCTCCCATGGCTCCCTCTAGCCGGGTGGCTAGGCGAACGGCCAGAAATTTGAAAACCTCCTTTCTGCCTCTTCTTTATAGGAGAAGGTGGATGCCTGTTGATGGGCTCACCTAGTTGTGTATAGTGTACAGAGGTGTTTGGTTGTCCCAGTCAGATCAATGGGTGGCCAGCAATGATAGTGTCAATTCTTTGGGCTGGTGGGACGAACAGGAATAGCTGCAGTGCAGTTAACCAGTGAGGTGACAGTGGACCAAATGGCTGGAAAGGGCCAGTGGAACCTCCATCAACATCCCCCTGGCAGGAGCTAAGTAGAACTATGTTGGATGGTAGCCTTCCATTGTAGGGATTCCATAGAGCAGGCCAGATGCATTCCGGGCAGGCCTTTATTTCAACTGATGCGCGACATGGAATGGGCTCCAGAGGGTGCAGTGGAGCAAGTGGAAATGGACTAGTGGCTTAGACTCCTATCCTCCATCTTGACTCTGCTGCTGCAGAGAAAACAGACACTGGGCTGGCATAGAACAAGGAACTGGTGGGGGTTACAGGGTCTTAGCCATAGTCTTTAGTGATCAGGCTGTCTGCTGTACTGGGTGCAGGAAAGGCAGCATATCTGGGGAAGGGGAGAGGATGTGTTTTATGGCTGCTGCTCAAGCAGCCATAAGATATAGCAGCAGGGGTGAAATGCTACCGGTTTGGGCCAGTTCGCCTGAACCGGTAGTAAAAAATGTAAAAAAAAAATTCCGAGAGTGATGCGCAATCGTCGGAACTTTGGTTTTTTTTTTACATTTTAGGCATTTTTTTACTACCGGTTCAGGCAAATAGGTAGTAAAAAATCTTTAAAAAAGTAAAATAAAAAAAAAAGGTTCCAACAATCATAGCTTTCCGGTGATCGCGTGGCGCAGCTGTGATTGTCGGAACCTTTTTTTTACTTTTTTAAAGCATTTTTTTTACTACCGATTCACCCAAGCTGGTAGTAAAAAAATGCTTTAAAAAGGTAAAAAAAAGATTCCGATGATTGTGCAGCACAGCTTTGATTGTCGGAGCCTTTTATTTACCTTTTAAAAGCATCTTTTTACTACCAGTTCCAGCGAATAGGTAATAAAAAAATGCTTTAAAAAAGTAAAAAAAAAGGTTCCAACGATCACAACTGTGTAGCGCGATCACCGGAACCTTTTTTCTTTTACTTTTTAAAAGCATTCTTTACTACCTATTCACCTAAGCCGGTAGTAAAAAATGCTTTTAAAAAGTTTTTAAAAAGGTTCCCACGCACGCCACAGCTGATCACACACACCCCACGCACTGTTCTACTTACCTTCCCAAGCCTCCTTTTGGTATGCACTTAATGTGTGTGCGCACAGCTCGCGTTTGGTGCGCACTGCATATGCACATGTATAGCGCGCATTTGACACATGCGCAGCCAGCGAACCGGTAGTAAACCGGTTCAGATTTTACCACTGCATAGCAGCCATTTTGATGGGTTCTTGCATATAACAGAACAGAATAACACAAGAGTTAGAAGGGACCTTGGAGGTCCCCTACTCCAACCTCCTGCTCATGCAGGAAGTCCTATACCCATGATGGTGAACCTATGGCACGTGTGCCACACTTGGCCTGCATAGCCATATCAGTGAGCACACCAGCTCAGCTCTGGGGCGCATGTGCACACCGCCCAGCTGATTTCCGGGCCTTCTGGGCCCACCAGAAGTAGGGAAACAGGCTGTTTCCTGCCTCTGGAGGGCCTGGGGGCGGGGGAAGGCCCGTTTTTCTTTTTTATCTGGCTCCAGATCCTCTCTATTTATCTGGGGCGGGCGAAAACAGCCTTTCCCACTCCCTTGGAGGCTCTCCAAAGGCCTGAAACAGCCCATTTCCCAACTCCCGGTGGGACAGGAAGTGACGTTTTTTGTTGTCCTCAGCCTCCAGAGACTCCTAGAGAGGCTCCTAGAGATTCCTAGAGGGGCTCTGGAGACTGGGGACAACAAAAAACGTCACTTCCTATCCCACCGGGAGTTGGGAAATGGGCCGTTTCAGGCCTTTGGAGGGCCTCCAAGGGAGTGGGAAAGGCTGTTTTCATCCTTCCCAGATAAATAGAGAGGGTCTGGAACCAGGTAAGAAAGAAAAATGGGTCTACCAGGCCATCACATGCCAGGAGCAGGAGGGGGGGGTTGTGCGCGTATGCGCAGGGCAGGGCGCATAGAATTATCAGTGTGGGCACACACACACGCGACCCTCCCCCGCCCCACACTCTCCTGGCACACGATGGCAAAAAGGTTAGCCATCACTGTCCTATACCATTTCAGATAAATGGTTGTCTAATCTCTTGTTAAAAACTTTCAATGTTGGAGCATCCACAACTTCTCGAGGCAAATCGTTCCACTGATTAATTGTTCTGTCAGGAAATTTCTCCTTAGTTCTAGGTTGCTTCTCTCCTTGATTAATTTCCATCCATTGCTTCTTGTCCTGCCTTCAGGTGCTTTGGAGAATAGCTTGACTACCTCTTATTTATGACAACTCCTAAGATATTGGAACACTGTTATCATGTCACCCCTAGTCCTTCTTTCATTAAACTAGACATACCCAATTCCTATCATGGACAACTGTGGACTGAAACTTCCTGTGATCAATATGATAGTGGAGATCCCAAGGCAGAGATGCAGGATGGTTATGTTGGTGGCTGGCAAACACCTGGATTAAGGACACTTGCACGATCTGGGCTCCTTTACATATTCTGGTAGTTGGAGTTAGGGCTGGGTGTAGCTGGTTTTTTTCTGCTTCCCTCATATGAGAGATAGGAGTGGACCTGGAGTGCTGCCACCCAGCCATTTGAAATATGTAGCTTCTCCTAGGGGAGAGCTGGGGCATGGGGAGAGCCTTTGTATGGATTTATCTTGCTCATCAATTGCAACTTTTTCTGGATAGGGAGCTTTGCTCACAGTCACTCATGCCTTGTCATTTCAGCTTTGGGTACTGCAATACACTTTACATTGGGCTGCTCTTGAAGATCATTCAGAAGCGGTCCAGAATACACTTCTATTGTACAATCGCAGTGTTTCCCAGTTTCTTACTTCGAGATTATCATCTTTAAATCCCTACACGGCACGGGACCAAGTTATTAGCTGATAACATCTGTGTTGATATACATCTAATCAGAGTTTTCCAGAAAATCTTCCATACATGTTTGCTTGCAGTTTATTGATATGTTAAATCTTATATCATTAAATGAGTTTCATATCTTTTGAGGCAATGCATAATCTCTTGCATTTTGGAGTTTTTGTGACATACCACTCTAGTTGGAATATTTGTTATATATTGCACAGAATCACTTTCTGTGAGATGGGGGGCCATATAAATTTCATTAATAAATAACATAAACTCACTTTTTTTCCTCTCCAAGTAATAGCCTTTTTATCTTTTTCACATCATTCAATTAAACTACTTTTGAAAGACCTCCAAAACCCTTTTTCTACTTATATTTGGCTTGTTCTTGAGCTTGTAATTTGTTCTTTTCCTATAGCCTTCAGTTTCATCAATTTAAATATTGTAGAAAAAATTACTTTATTAAGAAATAATCTTTAAAAAATTGTCTTCCATAAAAGATCACCCTCTAGTTATCCTGAACCATTATATTAGAATTCTTTGTCACTTTCGAGTCTGTGACACTGCATTGTTTTATGGTTTTATAATAAATCTTATGGTTGGTCAACTCACAGTAAAAATATATACATTTCATACTAATCATTATTATTTTTGTATTGTTAACTTATCTCTGCTAAGAAGTAGAACTTCATGCAAATGTAGTTATATTTATATTTAACAAAAAGATTTTTAAAAATTCTCTTAAAAATAATAACTGTTTTTATCTCACAGTATTCTAGGACCCTTAGTAAGCAGTTCTGGAATTTGGGACAGGCACCTAGCATTCAAACATTTACAGAAATTGAATATTCTAGCAAATCATTTAATAACGGGTACTGTTATTTTAATTACATTTTATAAAGTAATGCAATGCTTTTGAAATGACAAATGAAGGGGTAGCAAACTTGTAGCCCTCCAGATAATGCTAACTGACAATCGTTAGTAGCCCTAATAACAATATTAGAATTAAATAGTATCTGAAAATTTATGTTTCCTCCCCATATAGCAAGATTCATGATTAATGGTTAGATGAATTGTGATACAACAATGCTGTCTGCAAAAATAAGTTATATTTTCTTTGCCTTCTAATAAATATGCCTTTTTTTCCAATTAGCCAGCTATGTCTTTGTCAAACATATCATTATTTCCATCAGTAATATATCTTTTTTCCCCCCATGTGACCATTAGTTTTTCAGGGTGCTGGCCTTACTTAATCCTTGCTATGATGTATTTTTTAATTCATTCTATTTCTGCAAAAATTGAATAATTCTAGATATTTAAAAATGTTGTTTCTCAGTAGTATGTAATTCCATTTCTCTTGGAATATAATTCCATTTCTCTTGAAACTCACCATCTAACTTTTTAAAATCAATATTAGATGTATCAATAAATAAAGTGCCTTGTACTTAATAAGTTGGAAAGGGAAGAGAAATGCAAGGCATATGAAGAAAGAATTTGTATGAAATTTTTCTGAGGCAAAATAGCGAGATACAGATTGAAAGCATTAGGAGACAAGCATCACAATCCATTTGACAAAAATTTTCAAATACTGCAATACCACCACTGATAAATTAATTGTATGAAACTCCCTCACCAACTAAATGAAAAAATAATTGCCAAATTATTGGGATGAGCAGATGTAGATGCTATTGTTTTAAAATTTCCAAGGTACAAGTGGGCTTTTTAGCAATGTACCCCTCTGTTATGTAAATAGGTTTTGTTGATTGGCTGACCACCACAGCTGCAAGATATATAAAGGGAGCTGTTTCCCTAGGTCAGTTGCTGGGTTCTCACCCTATAATAAAGAGCTGTTGTCACTCACTGCCTGGCTTGCTGCGCCCTCATTCACCCAACTTAACACCCTCAAAGCAGCATTGTACTGGAATGGAACAACTCACCATGGTCAATTTGCCATGGCCAATTCACTGCATCAGCTTCCCACAGGACAACTCCTCACAACCAACACGCCACGGGACATCTTGCCACAGGACAATTCAACAAATACAAAAGATAAATTAATTTTGATGGAACCAGGGCCAATAATAATAAAATAAAGAAAGTCAATCCAGAAATACAAGATTACAATGATTTTGACAAAAACATGGTCATCAATAATAAAAGTGCCTGAATGAAATGATTAATGCAATGTTGAATTGTTCTGTGGTATTGTGGTCTGCCGGCAGCCTGCGGAGCTGGCAGCAGAGTCGGACAATGAGGAGGCTGGGGAGGAACATGGGCCAGTCCTGGAGTCAGGGGAAGGCTCGGATGAGGGCTCTGCATCAGAGGCAGAGATGGGGTCAGGACCATCTGGGACTTATGTGCTGACTCCAGAGCCTCCAGAGTCTGATGTCAGTGAGGCAGAGGAATAAGGGGAGCCTGTTCCTAGTGCACGCATGCGCAGACCTGCCAGAAGGCAAGAACCTTCTGGCAATAGCCACCAATAGCCTCCCACCAGCCGGTACGCTCTCATAGAGAGGGGCTCCTCCGGGTGCCATCGGCCAAACAATGTCGACTGGCGGCCCCCAGGGGGAGAGCCTTCTCTGTGAGGGCACCTACTATCTGGAACAAGCTCCCCCCGGAGATACGGAGGATCCCGGATCTGCGCACCTTCCGCCACGCTCTAAAGACCTTTTTATTTCACCAGGCGGGCCTGGCCTAACTTTCTCCCTCTTTTTAAACAATTTTTAATATTTTTTAATATTTTTAATATTCAAAGTTTAAATTTGTTTTAAATTGATTGGGGTTTTAATCTGTCTGGGCCAAACTATTTAATTCGATTTTATTTCTGCTTTTTAAATTTTGTATGTATGTATTTTATTGTTGGCTGTTCACCGCCCTGAGTCCTTCAGGAGTAGGGCGGTATATAAATTAAATAAAAGTAAAGTAAAGTAAAAGAACAGTTCAGACAAAGGGGGCAACTCGGGAATAAGACTTGGAGATGATTTTACCCCTCCCATAAGACATAAAGGAGGAGCAAAGGCACGTGAGCTTTTGCAGGAAGCAACTTTGTTAGTTCTGGTCAGTTTAAATTCTGAAGCTCCGTTTTGACTCTGTGCTCCGTGTAGCCTTGCAAAGCTAATTGCCAATTAGGTCTTTGGCACAGCACAAATACCTATAAGCCCGAGCGTCGAGGCAGAGGGTGGGAAGAAGACAGGTGATCCGGATGTGCTGCATGGCTGCTTGACTCATTGGAGGCTTACATGAGGCTTGCGTGGCAGCACTGGCAGCAAGTGGAGGAAGAAACGTGGGGGATTGGGGAGGCAGGCAATCCCAATGCCCTGCATGGGTGCCTGCTCGGCGCATCCACAGGCAAGCCAAGAGATGGTGGAACGGAATGGGTGGCGCATTTGGATCACGTCTGCCTCCGCCTGGCTCTGCTGTGTATTTTTTCACCCAGAGGGAGACAAAGCTTTGTCTGCTTGCAAAGGAAGCTATTCGCTCCATTTCAAACTGTCCCCTTTGCAAGGAAATGAAGCTTTGTCTCCCTCTGGGCGAAAAGTGTTTGGGCAGTTACCATTGGCCCTACCCTCTCCATCCCACTGTCTGCTTGCCCACGGCTTCAATGAGGGCCAAGTTTTCAGCATGCCCCTGCCTCCACCTGCCCTTCCAGGAAGGCAAAGAGCCCGAGTGAGGCCAGCAGCAGCATGGGCAGCCACTTGGTGGCCAGCATGGTGCCTGCTGTGGTTGAGAAGTGTCCCAGCAGCAGTTGGGCCAGCAGGCAGGGTGGGTGGAGGCCAGGGCATGCTGAAAGGTTGGCCCATTGCAGCCACGGGCAAGCAGACCAGCAAGACAGAGAGGGCGTGGTCAGTGGTAGCTGTGCTCCCACTCCCGTCAATCCCATGCTTGCCACCTCCCACACTTAAAAAAAATAAGATCTCCCTGAAAATAAGCCCAAAAGCTTATTTTCAAGCCCAAAAGAAAATAAGACCGGGTCTTATTTTGGGGGGGAAATGGTAATGAAACATTTGCAAGCAAACAACCAAACTAAGAAAGCAGCAAGAACTCCACAGTTCAGTCCTAAGATGCAGATTCTCTTAGTTCTAGCTTAACTACTGCACTGTTTAACAACAGTTTTAAGACACTGGAAAAACAATTTTACAATAAGTCCTAGCACTTATGCCCATCGCAAGCATCCCTGCAGTTATCAGAATTCAAAACCTTTGCAACCACTGGGCATTTATGACTGTTGCAGCATCCTACAGTCATATGATTGCAATTTGCATGCTTCACAATAAGCTTCTGAAAAAATCAATAAAGAAGCTGTTAGTAAAATTGCAAGTCAGTCACATGATGTTTCACTTAATAAATGCAAATGATGCACTGCATTTATTTTCCTCAAATATATACATTTGTTGATAATTTGGACAAGAGCTCCTCTGAAATCTGTTTGTACATGTGAGGCATTAGATTGGTGATCATTCTAAAATGAATTAGTACTCAGTAGCCATCTGATAAGCACAAGAACTGTGCTACTGAGAATATAAATACAATATACTTCATAGCTACAGCTTTAACATTGATAGAATATGTTTGTATAGATCTGCTTGTGGATATTGAAATACTGTATAAATATACATTGAAATGTTAAATTGCAATGCTATTTAACCAATTTATTATTTTCATTGAATTCTTCAGCAAAATTTGCTTTTTAGGACAAGTTCAGCATTTAATTGGAAAGTAATTGAAGCTTATAGGTAAACATTATTAAAAAGAATTAGGGAATAAATCGTATTGATGAAAAACATATTCAAATATTTTGTTTATAAAAATATAATAGCTAATTGTATTACTTGTTTGTTTGTTTTCAGAATATGGATGTTTGAAGTACCTAGCCAAACAAATGACAACGTGGCAACCATCGTTGGCAAAGTAGTTACTTTTCAGGATTGTTTTGTTATAGATGTTCCTTTTATTATTGCCCAGCCTATATATATATTAGGCTCAAAAACAGGAATTTCTGTCACTCTTCCAGCTGGTAGTGAAGCCATAATAGAATGGTCTTCTTGTTATCCAAGAACAGCTATCGTAGTGACAGTTGATGGTATCTTCCACACTAGCAATAGATTTTTAAATGTAGAAGAAATAAAATTTCCTTCAGGCCTCGTACCATCTACCATGATTCACAAAGTCAAAGCAGTAGGAGCTGTTTTTCCAAATGTCTTCATTCTGATTGAAAACATGCTTTATCAAGCAAGACTAGGCCAAGTTATCAACATTGGAGACGATTATTTTCCACATGTAAAATTTACTGGAATACGAACCCAAACTTGGTGTTTTGGAGAATATCCTTTGTCTGTGAGTATTTATAAAATGTTATTTTATATTTTATTATAAAGGAAGCTGTACTCATCCTTAAAATAAATACACCAGTGCTTTACATAACATGCAACTAATCTATGACATCAGATCAGGTGAAATGTTTGACAGCTCTTATAGACTACATGAATTATATGAAGTGATAGATTGTGTCAGGATAAGTAAATCGGAGTTTAGTCTATATGACATAGTTATGGCAGGGCTGCTTTCTTTCTTAAAGAAATACTTTCCTTTAAGGATCACAATGGCAGTTTGGGGATTTTTCTCAATGTCTAAATACTAGTGGCCTAGTGTACTTTGTTATAATTTCACCTGCCTTATCTGATACTGCGGGGAAAAAACACATGGCTGCTGATGTTTATGCTACAATAATGCTTATGTTAGAATATTCCAGGTGCTCTCTATGATTCTGACATTGAAGACAATCCAGAAATTCTGGCATTTAAAATGGTCAGTCATGTGAAAGCCATTGTAATCATATATATTTTTGAAACATCTTTATTGCTGTCCTCGTTTCGCCATTGAAGGTGCTGGTTTGATCTTGAGAGCCCTAAATGTTTGGTGCTGGTATTAAAATTTGATTATCCTGAGGAGGTACTTTTCCCATTTGAACTCTGTCAGTAGCAACTAGAACTTCACAACGAAGCCCTACCTTAAGTTGTATCAACTGAGGGTGCTCCTTAGAACATAAAATAACAGTGTTGGAAGATACCATGGAGGTCATCTAGTCAGTGGTGGGCTTCAAATAATGTAACAACGGGTTCGCCTAAGGTCAGGTTGGCTGTCATGGAAGGTGTGGCCCATCCCCGTCCTCCAGCTCTGCTGCTCATGCGGGACGAACCTCCCATAATGGCCAACCTAAACCTAGGCGAACCAGTTGTTAAATTACCCCCTGCCGTCAAAGTGGATCCTGGGTGCTGCACTGCAATGGAGAAATAGGAAACAGAGCAGCTGGCAGGGAAACAAATGTTTGTGGGACTAAAAAGAAAAAGTTCAATCAATCAATTCCAACTCCTCATGAGATCTTTTTTTTCACGAGAAGTTGGAATTGATTGAACTTTTTTTTAGTCCCACAAAATTTTGATTTCTGCACCCGATGATGAGAAATGCGATAGAAAAATGCGATGGAGCTGGAAATCAGGTTAGCAAAGAAATGCTTGGGGGAAGCAAGGAAACAGGCCCGTCTTTCTCCAGCAGCCACCTAGGCCCACGGGAGGGAAGGCCAGCATCTACCAGCACTTAAACATGGCGGCATTCCAGCTCTGGCAGAAAGGGGCAGCTGGCATGGATGCTGCAAGACGCACCTTTTTACCCCCCAAAAGGGGGTGAAAATTTAGGTGCGTCTTATACACCAAATGTAGCCCTGCCCACCCACTGGCCCCCACCCTTTGGCCTCTGCATCCCAGCTGTTACCTCCTTGCAAGCAAACAGCAAGAAAAAACAGCCCCATTCAGCTTCAGCATAGGCTAATTAGCACAATTTGATTAGATCGGCCTCCCGACTCTCAGCTGATTTGCTCTCAGCTGTTTTGCGCAGGCTCTTTTGCAAGATCTTTGCTTGCTGCAAAGAGTGCTGGAGCAGATTTTTTTTTTCCCTAGCTAAAACGAAACTGAAAGTAAAGCAGGCTCTTCTTCAAGGTGACAAAATGAGGCAGGGAGAGAGATTTCTTTTTCTTTTTGCTCACCAAAAAAGATAGGTGCAAACAATGGGAAATTTAGGGCAAAAGAGGAAAGTTCAAGATCTTAAAACACAAAAGAAAAAAGGTCTATTTAACTAGGGAATTGTAATAATTGAGATGCTATTAATTGTATATTGTGTTGAAAGCAGAAATGGTTAAGTTATGGTTTGGAGGAATATATGGGGGAAATTATTTGGTTTATTATTATTGGTAAATATAATTAATTGATTTGTAAGAAATTGGATTGCATGGAAATAATTGGAATATTCATGTTCATATTGATTAATATACAAAAAAGATAGTTATAACTAATTGATTTATATAAAAATGTTGAATTTGTATTAAACAATTATAATATTAAATAATTAGCCAATGTGAGGATGGATATAAAAATAGATGACAATGGGACAGGGTATAATATAGATTAGAAGGGAAAAATTGAATTTGATTAAGATTAGAAATGAGAATGAAGGGTAATATTGGTTTTTTAAAAAAAATAGATGAGGAATAAATATGGCAAAAAGCAAATATAGAAATTGTAAATTTAATTGAAATGACTAAACACTGTTTAAATTTGTGAACCAGCCAAACACTCTGTTCAAAGAAAATACATTGTATGTTTGTATGTGTGCTTGTCTAAAAAATAAAAAAAAACTTAAAAAAAACAACAACCAAAAAAGGTAGGTGCATCTTATACTCCGGTGCGTCTTATACTCCAAAAAATACAGTATAAAGTACATCCACCAAATTGGTTGCTGAACAATTTTGATAGATATTCATGTCTACACACATGCACAAATGTGGCAAAAAGCAAATCAGTTTGAATTCTTCAGGCTTAATAGACCTTTAGCCCTGTAATCCCAAATAATTCAAAAAAAGTAGTCTGGTCTCCTATCCCTTCCCTGGCCGCCTCCCCTGCTGGCAGGCACTCACAGGTCCTGCTGCTGCTGCTTGCAAAGAGCCCCGAAGCCTTTGGTTGGAACCAAAGGTGAAGGAACCATGTGAGCCCATAGAGAGGAGAAAGGAGGGGAGGGGCATTCACTGACAGCTTCTCTCAGCCTGTCATTACTTCTGTGCTATAGTGATCCCTATTTTTTGTAGCTCTGTATTTATTGGTATCTTACTAATAGCAATTTTGAATCCCTAGGAAACATGTCAAAGAAAAGAAAAATTGACCCTTGAGGGCTTCCAATGTCTCTCAATGCCCATCTTGGGGGTTTTAGTTGCAGTCTTAATCGGTGCAGTTCTCAGTCTGGTTTATTGTGTGGTCATCTGAATCATATGATCAGGAGTTATTTTGAAGGAAATCCGGTTTGTTTTATTCTTTTTTTTAATGACCTATTTTAAGGAGCCTGAAGGTGCTGTTGTAATGAAGCTAGGCAAGTGGCAAGAAAGTTTGTGCTCTTTTTTCCTTTGGGGGAGGGGTCTTAAGTAAATAGATTTCTTGGGTTGAGCAAGTACAGCAAGAACAAAGGCAAAATGGACTGCTAAATTGGCCATGCCCACCCAGTCACGTGACCACATAGCCATGCCCACCCAGTCATATGACCACATAGCCATGCCCACCCAGCCGGTCCGGCCCCCAACAGTCTGAGGGACCATGAATCGGCCCCCTGTTCAAAAAGTTTTTTTTTTTATTAAAGAGTTTTACAAAAATTTTTACAAATATTTCCCCATCCCCCCTCCCTTCCTTACCCTCCCCCCCACCCTTCACACTTTAACTCCCCTTTTACTTAACTAAATACTCTTAATTTTTCTATTTTCTATTAATTCATAAGCTATTTGATACTTTTTAGTCCGATATTTGTTTTGAATATAATCAATCCATCTTCTCCATTCCGATATATATCTTTCTTGTGAATAGTCTTTCAAATATGCTGAAATTTTTGCCATTTCTGCTAAATTCGCTACTTTTAATGTCCATTCTTCGATAGTAGGCAAATCTTCCTTCTTCCAATATTGCGCCACCAAAAGTCTAGCTGTAGTTATTAAATTCAAAATGAATTTAGTCTCTATAACCATACAATCTGTAATTATACCCAACAAAAACAACTGTGGAGTAAACTTTATCTTCTTTTTAAGAATATTTTGGATAATCCACCATATTTTTATCCAAAATGCTTTAACTTTTTTACAAGTCCACCTTATATGATAATAGGTGGCATCATCACAATCACATCTCCAACACTTAGGTTGCAAATTCGGATACATACAGGCTAGCTTTTTAGAGTCTAAATGCCATCTGTAAAACATTTTATAAAAATTTTCTCTTAAATTTTGCGCTTGCGTAAATTTCACATTTCTAACCCATATTTTTTCCCAAGTTTCCAACATTATTGGTTCCTGAATATTTTGTGCCCATTTTATCATACAATCCTTAACTAATTCCATTTCTGAATCTATTTCTAACAATATATTATATAATCTTTTTATATGCATTTGGCTTTGATCTCTAATTTGTTTTACCAAATTTTCCTCGTTCCACATGATACCAATTCTCTGATCTTCTTTCCATCTAGCTTGTAGCTGTCCATACTGAAACCAAGTTTGAATTATCCTTTCTTTTTTTAATACATTTAAGGACTTTAACTACAATCTACCCCCTTTCATTTCAAGAAGCTCTTTATAGGTAATCATCTCTTGCTTTTGTTCTACACTTATATTCTCTATCGCATGTCTGAGTATTGCCCATATAGGTATCTTATAATTTAACTTATATTGATACTTTTTCCAAACTCGTAACAAGGCATTCCTTAGTATATGGCTTTTAAAGGTCTTATCCACCTTCTTATCATATAATAAATAAGCATGCCAACCATATAACAAATCATATCCTTCAATATTCAATATTCTTTCTTCTGTTGAATTAATCCAGTCACTGATTATTGATAGGACAGCTGCTTCATAGTATAATCTTAAATTAGGCATTTTAAGACCTCCTCTTTCATGTATATCTTGCATTATTTTTAACTTTATTCTCGGTCTTCTCCCTGCCCAAACAAAATTATTCATACCCTTCTGCCATTCCCTCAAATTTACATCTTTCTTGAGTATTGGTATCATTTGGAACAAAAATAAAAACCTGGGTAAAACATTCATTTTTATTGCTGCTATTCTTCCCAACAAAGATAATTGTAATTTTCCCCAATTTTCTTTCTGTATTTTTTGCCATAACAATTCATAATTATTTTTATATAATTTCACATTTGAAGCTGTAATATATACCCCTAAATATTTAACCTTTTTTACTATTTCAAATCCCGTTAATCTTTCTAGTTCTTCTTTTTGCTTTACCGTCATA